TCTTTTTTTTTTTTTTTGGAAAGCAGGAAAAACGTGAGCAAATTTTGATTCCATTTTGTTTATAAATGAATGTTTTATGTTCGTTAATTCAAAATAAATCTGTTTAACGAAGGATTTAGCCGATTTTTAGCAGAGGTCGCCAGCATCCTGAGGAGATGTTTGGGGCAAAATAGGATTTAAGCTGTTATATTAAGACACATCAAATAAAGAAGAATTGGCGCCTCACCAAACTTGAGCTTCCATGCTTGGAACTCCAGATCCTCCAGAGAGATGCTCGCACAGCTGGCCACAGCCAGAAAGGCAACAGCAAGCAGCAGATTCATCCTGTCTGATCTTTGAGAAAAAAGAAAAAGTTTTTTTTTTTTTTTTTTTCCTCAAGCTGCGACAGCTTCCCTGTTGCATCACAATTTGGAAACGATTCTATTCGTGCAGGGGTCAATGCGCCGCGGGCACCAGGTTGCCTCCAAACACCACGTCAGTCGCCCATGCACCTTTCTCTAAAAACGTTCTACAAGTGAAATGTCAACTCCCAACATCAGAAAAATAATTAAATCATTGTCGTTACTTGTTGCAAATGCTCTGATACCACTTTTTTTTTTTTTAGAACTACAAATATTTCAGTACTTGCCAATACCAATACTGTCCAACACTTTTTACAGCAAAAAACGTACTTTGTATTCCGACTGGCATTTTAACATACAACTGTATGTTTTTTAGTTGAAGTCAAACGCTTCACTTGAATATAGCCTAGAACACAAGGCAATGAAATGTCAAAATAAAACAGTTTGCTGGAGAGCCAGAAGGCTTCTTTTTTTTACTCGACGTGCCACGCCGCGGTGTATTGCCCGCGTGATGGGAAAAACTCACTGCTTGCAGGGTGGCCTACGGCCACAACGCGCGGGAGCAAGCGCAGTTCATCATCCATTTTACAGAGTATGCTTTGCGGTCGCTCCTGCAAAGTGGACGCTGAACTTCACGGGGGGGTTGACGGGGGTGGCGGCGAGTTGCAGCGGTCTGGCAAGCATCAAGTGTTGTCATCCGTGTTTAAATTCATGTATGTCCGCACCCGCTTCATGTCAGGCTCGTAAAAAGGTATCGGTTTCATCGTATTGAATACCATTAATTCATAAAAAGATTTCTTTTGTTCCAAAAGCTCCCCAGACTCCCTCGACAAGAAACGCCATCAATTAAAATCAAAATTTGGAATCGTCTTAGGTTCATTTCATCTCTGCGATTGACAGCACAGAATGTATTTGCATTGTTTGTGTGTTCTTGATGGAGCTGCTTACCTGCCTCGGTGTTCTGCCGTCGGTGTGCGTTGCGTGCCTGTGTGTGTGTCGCGGGTAACCACTTGTGGGTGATGCAATGCCCGATCTCAGATCTTTCTCTTATATAGCTCGCTCCATGTATGACCTGCAATGTGTCCAATCAGGTGGCTGTCAGCAGCAATCATTGAAATGGGGAAATGATCAATCTTGTGTGTTTTTATTTAAAAAAAAAAAAAAGGGTTTTTTTTTTTTTTTTTTTTTTTTTACAACTTCCATCGCAAGACAACACTGAAATGTTTAATATGTCAGAATATTACATTTCATAAATTATCCCGGATCTGGGCTGTATTTTCGATTTTCAGCCCATGAATGACAAGGTTACGTTGTCATTAAACTGCATATGTGAGGCATGTATGGCTTTGAAATGAGTGTCCCAATTCGTCACTGTGGCAGTATTGTAAAAGCACTCACAAGTTTCTTCACACGAGTGGAACAATTGTGCTTGTGTTCGGCGTCCTTCTTTTTGTTGCCAAGTACACACTTTACATTTACTCAACACTTCAACCAAAGAAGAACAACGTCAGAAAGTTTACCTGTTCTTGACCAGCCAGTAGTCACGTCCATTGTCGGTGCCGTAACCTACAGCCAGCACTCCGTGGTTCAACTTAGAGCTGCTGCACGCTGGCTCATCGTAGACGCCTGTCAACAATTGCAAAAAAAAAAATCTCAGATCGAAGTTTCTTTCTTTCTTCTTTATTTATTTATTTATTTTTTAGATCACTTCGATCGCACTAATGTCTGTCACCTGATTCGTAGAGCTGGAAGGACTCATGTGAAGCATCAATGACAACAGACACAGGTCCGACTGTAGCCACCGCCTGCTTCAGGGCGCGTTCGTCGCCGGTTTTCACGTTGACGTAACCTGTGCATGTGGCACCGATGTCGACTGGGTTGTAGCGGCACTTTCCATCCTATTTTGGAGAAGGAACAAATGACGACTGGACACAGCACAAAGTTCACCAACTCAATCGGTTGTCCCGAAGCTGACAAGAGACAATTTGTTGACAATCAAATCTAAAACATCCAGCATTTTTTTTTTCTCCGCTTATCTGGATTCAGGTTGTGGGAAAGGTACAGGCAACAAAATCCTGGCTCTCCTGTTCCATCTGTGAAACTGGCTAAAGTAGCTGCCTGTCACTATGTGCACTGTAAGACAGTGGTCCCCAACCCCCGGGCCGCGGACCGGTACCGGTCAATGGGTTTTGTGGTACCGGGCCGCGCAGAAAGAATAAAGAACTTACATTACTTCCGTTTTATTTATTTTGGAATCTGAAAGATGTTTTATTTTGAAAAATGGACATTCCTCGGGTCATCATTCGTGTTTATTATTATGTTTCAAAAAGACCAAAGTTTTCATGCAGGTCATATATTATTTTGTCGTATTTATCCGTCTCACTTTCAAGGCCGGTCCCTGAAATTATTGTCTGACATTAAACCGGTCCGTGGGGCGAAAAAGGTTGGGGACCACTGCTGTCAGAGACAATTTCGGTTTACCCGAGCCTCATAAGGATAGGACTTCTCTGTGTTGATTCCCCCGTTTTTCTGGATGTACTTGAAGGCGTAATCCATGAGCCCTCCCTTGCAGCCCTTGTTGCCGAAGTGGCCAGAGCAGTCCACCAACTGCTGCTCGCTCAGAGACACCAGCTTACCCGTCTTCTTGAAGGTCTGGCCCTCCAAAGAGCCCGTCTGGGCAAGGCGGAAAACATTGAAGAGTAAAGTTCATCATCAATGAGGCGACACAAGGGAATACGGGAGGCACCGCACGTACTGCGCTGAAGGCCCAACAGGAATTGCACGCCCTCTGCTCCTTGACCTCGGTGACGTAGCCCATGCTTCTCCAGTCCACAGTCTGTGGTAGGTCAGCTCCGAGGGTCAATGGCAGGAACGTGGAACCGCCCCGCGGCGCAGAAGCGTTAAAGGGCAGCAGATTTCCCCGGGAAAACAACTGCTTGTACTCCTTGTTTTCCTAATCAGGGCAGACACTCTTAGCGGTCTCGACATTTCGTTGTAAGAATTCAGTCAAGACAACGCTGGAGTTGAAACGGCGAGTTGGTTTTCTTACCAGATCGGCAAAGAAGGTCATGCCGAGGCGGTAGGACTTCATGCCTTGATCGGCCATGATGTTGTGCACGAGCACCAGTCTTCGGTTGTTCAACCAGATGGTCTTGCGGTCAGACTCTTCTGACGGAGAGCTGTAGGACTTCCCTGTCAATCAGAACAGGAAAATGATGAATTCTGCCACGCCCTTGAAAAACATGGCTAGTTTGATACAGCAGCCTCTTGGAATTTGATGTTGTTGCGCATGAGGAAGGTGTTCAACTGTTGCTTTGTCCTGATTTCAAATTAAAGGCAAAGAGAAATTACGTTACCCTGGTACTGGTTTTTAACAGTAAATGTTGGAAAAGTTCAGGTGATAATTTCCTGTTGTTATTCTATTTTACAATTTTCACTGAAAAAAAAAAAACATACATAATTTCCCTACTGAAATAATGGCCAGTCTTTTTTTTTTGCGGGGGGGGGGGCAGGATAAGCGTGAGCAAATTTTGATTCTATTTTGTTTATAAATGAATGTTTTATGTTCGTTCATTCGAAATAAATCTGTTTAATGAAGGATTTATCCGATTTTAGCAGAGGTCGCCAGCATCCTGAGGAGATTTTTGGGGCAAAATAGGATTTAGGCTGTTCTATTAAGATACATCAAATAAAGACGAATTGGCACCTCACCAAACTTGAGCTTCCATGCGTGGAACTCCAGATCCTCCAGAGAGATGCTCGCACAGCTGGCCACAGCCAGAAAGGCAACAGCAAGCAGCAGATTCATCCTGTCTGATCTTTGAGAAAAAAGAAAAAGTTTTTTTTTTTTTTTTTTCTTCACGCTGCG